CAACCCTTAGATTTATTTTTTTAATGTAGGTGTGTTAACGCGCCTACCTTCCCAAATTACATTATTTAGGAGTCGGGCTTCCGACCCTGCCCCGAACTGTCAACCTGGATGAAAGGGATACAACATCCCAGCAAAAAGACAGGGATACTCGATAAAAATGTCAATGCTCCCTCCCCACCTCGTCTCCTCTTGCTATACGTTTTTGCTTGCAACTAAGCCATGGTGTAAATGATAGTAGGCCTATATATATTATATTTATGCATCCAACAATTATGCCCTCGTAATATATAAGACCTAAGTAACCTAGCTGCCATAGAGTAACAATATTTATGTTAAATGAGGTGCCTTGCTGTGAGGCCTATGAAATCAATCAGCCATATCCTTATTATAGGTTAGCAGCAGACTAAATAAGGTCACCAGGAATGGATCTGTCACACAGCCAAGTACAGAACAGCGAACTATAGTTCGGAATTTCATGCAACACTGCAAACAAGACAAAGAGAACCAGGATTTGGGGCATACAAAAATTCGAAGCACGGTAGGCTATATGAAACAATGAGGCTTACACAATGGTGGGTTCAAATTGCTGCAGCCATTATGAGTCACGACGCAGTGGAATCAGACGCTCGTTAACTTTTGGTCGTATGGAGATATTAGCATAATCTTAAAACGTGTTCATTTGTCTTGCTTTTGATTTAAAAAACAAAAACAAACAAAGCAAAACATGTGGTTACACGAGTTCCGTGTTACAATCTGCCCAAACCCCAGGTAAAATCAATCATGTACAGTGCAATTCCAACGAATTACATGAATTATAGGCCTGCGTACTCGAATGCGTGGTCATACTATAATGACAGGGGGGGGAGGTGAACAGTCGGACCAAAAAGCGCATAATAATAATATGTGCATGGAGGAATACAGTCAAAATGCAGGACTTTAATTAGGCCTAATGGTTAACATGCTGTCTAAAACGCAAAGAACGAGGCTTCTGCAGTGATCAGCTATTTCACTGATGTCTAGCTTAGCTCCAGCCTTCATTAATTACATGTTGTACCCGGTATACTGAAAATCTTGAATGGTTGTTCTGAACATACATAGCTACTTAAATGGTGCGAGGCAAAACCATAGCGATACGTTTGATAAATAATATTTTTAAAGCGCTTTTATTTTCCGTTCGCAGGTCAGTATGCTGCTTAGAGAGCCACCAGTCATATAGTCACTTAATAAATAGCTGTGTATTTTCCAATCACTTGAGATAATAGTTACCTCAATAGTCTAGTAACCTTCTAAAGTAAATTAAATCGTCGACACAACGAGAAAAAAATTTTCTTCTAAGTAACATCGAGTAGTCGTGGGGGGGGGGGGCGTCTTTAGCTGTTCAGTAACCACCCCCCCCCCCTCCCCTCAGCAACAAAATATTTAGAATGGTGTAGATCCAATTTTTTTTCCTCACTTATTTTAGTACTTACGATGTCATCCCCCTTTGTTATTTCCTTTTTTCCAACTGTTCAGTGTTTTCTGGGCATTCGTTATAAAATCGTTTATCTTGCCGAAGAACAAGAAAACCGCCAAAACTTCTTGGATGCCACCTATATCTGGGAGAAAAACTCCTGGCGAAACGTTGGGCCAACGAACATTGTGTCAAGGCTGAAAAGGCTAATTTCCTTGGTCAAGGCCAAACAAGAATTAATAACAAAACGGAAAACCCCCACGTTGATAGAACATGGCCTCACCATGGCCCGTCTTTCAACATGTAACATTAATAAGACAATAGGCCGATCTATTCTTCACTAAGCCTACCCTTAGAGTGCGAAGCGTATTCACCCCCAAAGAGAGTAAATCTAGCATGCAATTATTATCATTAGGCCGTATTATTATTATTATTATTATTATTATTATTATTATTATTATTATTATCATTATTATTGTTATTATTAAAATGCATCTGTACGCCTAGGGCCTACTCCTCTAAGTTATAAAGCAATCCATATCATAGGCTAGGGAAGTGGAGCTTCATTCTTTCTCATGATCATGCAAACACTCGAATAGCGCTACCAGCTGGCCTCCAACCTAGGCAGACAATAATTGTATATAGGCTAGGGCCTTGTCGAAATCGAAAAACTAGCCCTCGCGTGATTTTTGTTAACCAATGAACGTGATATTTAAGTTATACCAGAGACCTAGCTAGTCGCTAGATCTGGTAATACATAATTTTCATGTCGGCGACTGATAGATCTGTCACTGTTTGATATCCTTGTTTCAGTCCCCAAGGGACATAAATGTGAATAATACATATCTAGCAGTCGTTTTGTTTGTGTTTATGTCCCTTGCTGATCCCGACAATGTTCAGTTGCAAAACATGATATTCGGGAGAATGATGAAGGAAAAACAATATGAAAAGAAAGGAAAAATTGACCCCGCTTACTTGCCGGTAAA